GATGAGGTTAGTGAGGTTCGGTGCTTGTTTGAAGGCCAGGATGGGTGGCTCTGGGAGGATCTCTTTAAGAATAGGGTCTCTTTCTAGTATGGGTTGCAGTTGTTTGAGGATTTTCCATATGGGTTCGAGGGAGGGGTGATATGTCATAACCAGCAGTGTGCGACTTGTGGAGGGTTTTATTCTGTACTGCAGCAGTTCTTCAGACGAGCCTATAAACACCACTTCATCAACCTCTTGGATACTAAAAATTATGGACTAAATATAGACATTGAATTTATGACGTTATAACCTGCCTAACATCTAACTCCTCAGGTGCTTCTCCACTATTCATCCCCCTTCTCTTCCCCGCCCCGTCCCCGCCTGTCTCCCACCCATTGACTCCTCAATCTACATCTTCACTGCCTGCCTGTCTTGTATGCAGACCAGACCAGCCTCTGGCTTCTTCACTTTTCACTCCATCCAGGAAGAGCGAACACCAGCTGCAGAGACTTCCTTAGCCTGACGAAGGGATTTTGAACCCGAAAGCTTGCTTAAAAATTGTTTTCCAATTATTTAAGTTGGTCTAATAAAAGATATCAGGTTCACCTAAAGAACCTTGTCTGCCTGTTCTCAGCTGTGAGAGAATTACCTGAGATGTCACCTACTATGAAAAAAATTATTCATGTGTTATAACACAAGCATTCCCTAATCTGCCCATGTAGAGTGATTGTTCAGTAGTGGGGCTTAGTTTTGCAAGACAGAAGAGGAAAATTGTTGGATGTAAATTTTGAAATGCAGCTTTTGCTGAGGTGCAATAAGCATGTTTAAACAGTCTCTGCTATGCAACTGAACATTCTTTCTCTTATTTAAACTGCTTTTCTCATTTCAGTCTAATGTTGATGTTCAGACATTTTCATTATTTCTAATTCTGAAGTATTTCATACCCTTTTGTTACAATTTTTCTTGCTCAAAAGGTAACAACAGGTTTTCTGTGGAAATAGTTTTTATTTGTCACGTGGCTATGAATATCTGCTTTCTGTTGTTCTGGTATACCTATATGACTGTTACAAAGTACTTCACATGGAGAGGGGTGAGAAGGATCTAACATTACATAGGTATTGGTACATTGTTATTCTGAAAACTGTGACAAGTATAACATTGTTTTCAGGTAAAGCAGAGTGAGTTCCAAGTAAATTAGTGGGCTTCTGCATGCTTATGGAAAAAGAAACCCACTCGTATTTGAAAATGTAAAATGATGCTAAGAGGCAATTCACCGTGTTTCACGCTTTTCTCATGAATCAACTTAATTTTTAACTAGTTACTCCCTGTTTAACTTCCCTTTTAATTAGTTGGAAGTGGAAATATTTAACTTTTAACTTAAATCAGGTTAATTTTAAAGGCTGCTAACTTTTGACTTTAACCAGTTATATTTTTCATAAACTTTTTTCCCATGACTGTCTAGGAGTTCTGCTTCCTTCATGCCTCCCTTGAAGCCCTTTGAAAGCAATGGGGGATGCTCATACACATTCCTTGCAAGACCTGGGGCCTCTTATAAATGAAAACATATCTTTATTCCATGAAAGTAACTGAAGGCCTTCAAGCTGTGCAAACCCCACAAAGATTCAGAAATACTGATACAGAATTACCTCCTCCTCCTCCACCGTTCTTCCCAGCCACTAGTCTAATAAAAGGAAAGACATCCTGTAAATACCTTTCTGCAGTGTTCTTGTTTCTCAGGCCTGTCAAAGCCTCTTTCCCTGGTAGTAAGGCTATATGCCCTCTTTACATAGGTTTGAGGGTCTGGAGGGCAGGGTTGTGGGGGAGATGCTCTGAATTTGTAGCATGAATCTCCAAGTGCCTGGAGCTGCTCACCAGAACAGGGTGCCATGGCATGACATAAATTGAGCAGCTTTGTGGGTTACTTCACAGTGCGTTGCCTGTACTTGCATCATTGCAGATATGCGTGTAATAAATAGAACATTTGTCTTGACTGTTTACAGCAGCCGATTTGTGTTCGTTCCTGGCCCTGAAGATCCTGGTCCTGGTCCTATTTTACCACGGTAATTTGCTGCCTTATAGTTTTAAACATTTTGAGACTTTCTGTGCCTAATAAAAAATTGGTAGGATAAACACATCTTCTGTAGTCAATCTATTGCTATTTATTTAGGCCACCGCTAGCAGAATGCATCACTCAGGAATTCAAGCAACTGGTGCCATTTTCAGTTTTCACTACAAATCCTTGCAGGTAAGCATGTAACTTTGATATTAACCATAGAAAGCAAAACAGTTATTGCTTAACTGAGTGACCAGTTTAAGTGCAGAAGTAACATTCTTAAAATATGTGCTGAAATTTTAAGCTGTGTTAGCTAGCTACAACAAAAATATTGGGGAGTTAAAGTTTTAAATATATTATTAGTAAAATAAACACTTTACCTAGAAACTGTTTCTACTTTATCCAGAAAAAGAGGAACCTAAACATACACTAACCAAAAAAAAAAAAAATCTCTGCAGAAATAGTATAAGAACACAAGATTCTTTCCTCTCCTAGGAGTTCAGTAGCAGAACTATTAAACAGAGGCTTCTCATATGGAACATGTCCATTTTTCTGTCTAGAGAAAGGGGAGATGGGAGAAGTCAGGGTGTGGAGGTAGTCTTTTCAGTGTAATTTATCTAATGTTTTTGCTGCTGTAATAAAGACAGTGATTTTGCAATATTTGATCACATCTTTCATAAACTATCATTTCAATTTTCAAATGCCAGGAAAATTAATACTTAATATTATCTAATCAGGGTACAGTACTGCACACAAGAAATCATCATCTTTCGTGAAGATTTAGTAAACAAGATGTGCAGAAACTGTGTCCACTTTCCTAGCAGCAACTTGGATATTCCTAACCATGTAAGTCAAACATATGCCCCACATTTCTTTTTGAGATCACTTTGATTTACTGTACTTAACACAGGGACTATGAATTCCCATCCTTTGACCTACACCTCAATATAACAATACCTCATAATAGTTAAAATATTTAATGACTGAATGGTATTGTAAAGATGGTTCACTGCATATAATGGTACTGTTGAATAAGGAATCTCTATAGTAAAATAACTAAACATTTTACCAGTAAAGTAACTGACAGTATAACAAGTTGTTTTTCACATCCTTCTCTGAATGGGTCCCAGTGGTGGGGCACACACGCCCATGTACGCAAATTCAGAACTTCCCAGCAGGCAGTATCTCTTAGTACACATGTTGCCAGGGAAGTCTGGCTCCTAAATTAAAAGTTTAGCACAGTTTATCCTCCTGTACTTTGACCAATTTATCAGTGGCATTTGCAATAGAGCAATATGTGCATTTCTCTAAAGGTCACTTCCTTCTACTTCTTTTCCACTGAAAGTCTTAATCCTTTCTGTGACATTAACCCAAAAGCAATCAATTGTGAGGTCTCAAGAGTAAGATTCCAATTTAATGAATGATCTGATGGAACATGTTCTTCTAATTAAATCAGAAATGTTCCATGAATCGTATTGTGCCTGAAGGAGTATGTAGGCTGCTGCTATGTCTCCAAAGCCCATGAGGGACTGATGCAACACCCAGCTCTGGGGTATTTGGAGATCAGAGTGTTGACTGAGCTTGCACAGTCCTTTTTGGGTCACAGTACTGAAAACGTGTACATCTTCCTCTCTGTTTCCTTTGAGGCTTTCCCCTTACTTCCGTGCATATCAGTGGAGCTTTTGTCAACAATCCATTCAGAGGCACAAATGTACATGTTTTCATTTTCTATATCCATGGTAAGCATGTCTTTCTCCCTTTTGTTATACATATTGCCAAAGATGCTTTCCACATTACAGAGCACAGCGCTTACCTTCAGGACCTGGGGGCATTTTCGTGCACTCTTAGTACTGTCCACCTTTTCTGTCTGTGTCATTTCAGAAATGTAAATTATGTTCGTGTCCATGCAAAAGAAATGGTTGGGAGGAAAGATCCTTGCCCTTGACGCTGTGTAGACCAGAGGTTTCCAACCTGTGGTCCGCAGACTTCTGGGGGTTATGCCTAAGTGTGGTCTGTAAAAGATGACTATAAAAAATGAAAAGTATATGAATACCCACACTTACAATTCAAAGGGGCCTGGCACCTCCATTCAGAATTTTCTAGGGGTCAGCAAATTAAAGCTTGAAAACCTTTTGGCACCTTCAGGTCTTGTGCAATGTTCTTGAAACTGTTGAATCACTTGTAAAGTGCAATTCTTCCTTCAGTAGTGCAGGAGGTGGGTGTTGTGTCACTGGGTGGCTGGTCCTAAAACAAGGAATTGGGCTCAGCCTTGCCTGTGACTGACTGACCTATGACAGGAAGTGACTCTGTTGGGAGACACCTGCAGGAGCAGGAGGCTGCTGGATCAGATGCATGAAGTAGGTTGGTTCCAATGACAGGCCTCCCAGCAGAGTGATTCTCACACAAGTGGCCAGTAGAATGGCAACTTGTAAGGAACTAGGTTTCTACTGAAGGGGAAGAGACTGGGTTTATATGTAGAATTTATGTTGAACTGTTTTCTTGTTAAAGAAAGCTGAAGCCCTGAGAGGGCCTGGACCAGTATCTGGGTGTAGTGTCAATTCTTTCTGAGCAGACAAGATGGGCCAGCAGCCTTACAACATCCTTTAGAGACTGTGTGGTCCACAACGTGGCTGTGGGGTTATTTCACTAACAAGGCTTCATGCCAGAAATAAGCAGGAGACTGCTTTTGAAATGCACGTGCTATTTACTACCAGTATTATTAGTTAATAAATAGGGAGAACTACAAAAAAACATCTCTTAAGTACAAAGTTGCTTTTTATGGGAAATTGACACCTGCAGTTATTGCAGTCATGAGTTTTGGTTTATAAAAATAGTCCAAACTAACTTCACTTTTTTTTGCCTTTGTAGTTTGTAAAGACTATCGTATCTCAAGGACACCTGACTCCACTCCCACTTTATGTCAGTCCTGTATATTGGGCTTATGACTATACCTTGAGAGTGTATCCTGTGCCAGATGTGATTGTCATTGCAGACAAATACGACCCCTTCACTGTCAACAATGCTGACTGCATTTGCATAAATCCTGTAAGACTGTCTTTATGCTCTACCAAAATATGTCATCATAACACTGTTGGCAGAGTGTGATATGAAATATCTTTTCAAATGAAATGTAATCAGTGAAATATTTAATATTAGGGGAACTTGGGTGCCTAACTATTACAAAAAGAAAGCAGAGAGAGGTAGTAGTTACACTGTACCTTTTGTTATGTGCACAGTAACTTCAGGAATCCTTGCTTTTTCATTACAGGGTTCTTTCCCAAAGAGTGGATTTTCATTCAAGGTGTTCTATCCCTCCAGCAAAACAGTTGAAGACAGGTAAATATATCCAGTATATGACTTTATTATCAAATAAATAATCTGACCACTTCTGACTTCGATTCCATTCTGGAGGCAAGCAAGAATAGTCAGTGGTTACTCCAAAACATGATTTATGTCCATGTATAGTCTCCTGAGGGAAGGGGAAGCAAAGGCTACATTTTGGTTTCTGTGGCAGACATGCAACTCCCATTGAAACAAATAACAGTTGTGCATATACATCCAAGGGCAAGAAATGGCCCCTTTGAACCGCGGTGAATTTGTATTGATATTATTTGTTTATAAAACACCACACTATCTTAAAAATATCTTATACCACAAATATCCCAACGTCTAGTGCACACTGTTTTATACATATGCAAGTTTATATGTACATTCAGAGTTTTGAATGTCTAGAACTAAGACAGATTTTACAAATTTTTAAAAAGGGATTAGGGTGATGGTTAGATATAACAATTCACAATTAAAAAGAAAAGGTACTATGTACTTCCCAATACTCTACGTTCAAGAAAAAAAATATTTTTGGGGAATGATGTTATGTTGTATTCCCTTATTTTAGTCATGCAAGCTTTTGCACTTTACTGTGCTGTAATGATTTAGTTACACTGTTTCTTTATTGTAACTTAAGCAAATTAGATCACAGTACTGTATAGTTCTTTCCGCCATATTTTGGATCAGGATCACGTCCACATTTTGCAGTGGGTTTGGTTTAGTTGCTTTAATTTCCAGTATTTTATATCTGTCTGTGAACTTTATAATCTAATAGTAATTGGAAAGTGGCCCAATCACAGCACCAATGAAATAAAAGCACTGTGTTTCTTGGAGTTTACATTTGCAATATCTACTTTGTATTTAATTACTTACAATAAAAGCCTACAGGGAAATGTAAAAATTCCCCTTGAGTAGAACTCTGTGATTTTGTTTAATAAGTTTCCATCTGGTAACAGCATTCATGCAGAGATAGAAAATATCAAACCACCTGACAGTAAACAGGTCATGTATTTAAAAACTTAATGAAACCTTTTAGGTATCAAAAAGTGCAGGGATAAGTAAATCTGTTTCTTCAAAACAATAATATATGTTTTAAAAACCTAAATGCTTCTTGTTTGTATTTTCAGCAAACTACAGGATCTTTGAGACTTCACTGACAAATGAAGCATTCTGTTCCAACATGCTGCAATACTATTTTTTTGTTTGATATGGATTCATTTTATAATAATTTACATATTCTGTACTGAATGCCAGCATTTTTGTAAATAAATACTTGCATAAAATAACTGTTTGATAGGAAAATTATGATTGATAGGATGCCATCTGAATTCATATAGACCATAGGGGTGGTAGTTCATAGATTCAGAGATATTAGGGGCTGGAAGGGACCTCTTGAGATCATGAGATCCAGCCCCCCTGTGCTCAAGCAGGAAAGACTGCTGGGGTCAGATCTTTGCAGAGGGCTGCTCTCTCCTTCCATACTGAATCCTCACTGGATTAGCCACTCTGAAAAACTGGGAGAGGCAATCTAGAGCAGGGGTGGCCAGAGTTGCTGACCCTGGGAGCCACATCCAATCCTCCACTGAAGTTCAAGAACCAGAGACTGGGAGGGGGCAAGGGGAGGGATGCCGAGCGACCTGGCTTTGTTCCCCCCTGCTCCTGCCAGCAGTCATTAGGTGCTGGCAGCAGGATCGGACTCCTGCTGCTGCAGCACGGAGCCACTCTGGCTTTCCCCATGTGGGGCATGCTCCAGGGTAAGTGGTGCAGCTGCAGCCCCTGCCCCAGCAGCCTGGCACCTGAGCCTGCAGTGCTGGAAGTGGGTGGGCTTCACCCTATTTCTAGAGAGCCACAAGTACCATGCCAGCGCACAGTTTGGCCACTATAGACTTAAAGGGTGCAGAGTCATTAGCCTCTCTGCACAGAGCAGGCACAAATTGAAGCAAAAATGTAACTGAAATAGATCTCATTTTCTATTCATTCAATGTTTCACTCAGAATTAATGTGTCTAATGCAACGTTATGTACGCTTTCAGTATTTTGCATGACTGTTTATAGAATATAAAATGTAATGGTGTCAGTCCATTTTAATAGTTTTAAATGTCAGAAACCAACTGTGACACATTGATCTGAAAACCTTTTTATTTGTCTAGTATCTCCATGTGCTTCAGCTGTACTAAGTTATACCATAGCAGAAAGAAACTCCAGTCTTGGACCAGTACCATGGCATGCAAGCACCATGCAAACAGAGCAACTGTCCCTGTCCTTAATCCAAAAAGCGTACATGAGGGAGTAACAGAAGGCAATATTACTCTTGGTATGGGGAAGGTGGGGTTGTGGTGAACCAGGAGCCTAACCGTTGTCAACTTTTACATACAAATTACAGCAAGAGTGTATTCAGAGTCATAGAATCAAGGAGTCAGAAGGGACCTAGACAGATCATCAAGTCCAACACCCCCGCCATGGGCAGGAATGAGCACTGGAGGTGGGAGGGGTCATAAAACCCCAGCCAGGTGCCTATCCAGTCTCACCTTCCCTGGAGATTTTTAAGAGGAGAGCACCCCCTCTC